AAATTTCTTATAGTTAGACGTTTTTTCTTTTCTTTTCCACTTCTTTTAATACATATAGTGTTAGGTTAGATTTTTTTTTTTCTATACAACATTATACAATTTCTGTAGCCTGGCACAGGCAAAAATAGTGTTGTCATAGTCATCTTCTTTGCAGCCTTTTTCTCCTTTTCTCTATTTTTTCTTTTGTGTACATTTTTGTTTCGTGTAGTTTAGATTTCTCCTTTTTTATATTTCCTTTTATTTTTTTAAATTTCCTGTTGTTCTTGTGGTAGAATTCTTCTATCTAGGAGGCTAGAAGAAGAAGGTTGGAAAAGAAGGTAATCATGACAGGCTGGTGAACCAGGTCGGTAAACCAGGGCAGATCGGCTTAATGTAGGTTAAACCAAACCGGAAGATTAAAATCATCTTTGGCAGGTTGTACACAGGTGTATGAGTACTTAGGTACTCTATATAGATAACCGGGTAAGACACATTCCAGTAATAAGATGTAATATAAAAATTCTTTGGATTGCTGTATATGATCAATAAAAGCAGTGCATGTAGCATGATCGTCAAAAAAAAAAAAAAAAAAAAAAAAAAAATAGTTATTGAGATACAGTATATACTATTAAAGTTTAAGTAAAAATAGCAAATTTTGATATATATTTATTCTATTTAATAGGCATTTTAGTTTTTTTTAAATTTTAATTAAAGATATCTCAACAACTACTATAGAATATAAAGATAAAAATTTTATTATTTTGCGATTTTAAAAAGGTATTTTTATTAATAAATTAATAAAAAGTCTTTTTAAAAAATGTACTATTAAAAGTATTTTAAAATTATAAAACTATAATTTACTATATAAAAAAAAGATTGTTGCTAATTATATTTATCCAATCAAAACAAACTTCCGCTATGCTATTTTGATTTTTTAATTATATAAATAATATATTAGACTTTTTAACTTTTTAAAATTTATAGTTACACAGGTCGAAAGATGAAAAATCAGGCACAAATCAGGTACCTGATTTTAAACTGATTACTACCTGATTGGCACCTGATTTATGCATATTTTTGTACCAAAAATTTGGTACAAAAATATGCATAAATCAGGTAGTAATCAGGTAGTAATCAGTTTAAAATCGGGTACCTGATTTGTGCCTGATTTTTTATCTTTCGACCTGTGTTACTTATTACAAGTTGTTTAGTTTTCACTATAGTTATTATTTACTAGCTTTAAATATTTTTAAAAATTTTTTTTTTTATTGTTATTGATATTAATTTAATTTTACAAAATTATTTAAAAGCTTTATATAATTAATCTTTTTTTATATTTAATAAAATATATATTGAATTGGTTTAATAAATTTGTTAAAATAATACAATTTCTTGTTATAAAATAATTATACTCAAAACTATTAATATGTTTTATTATTGTTATACTATTATTATTTATTTAAAATTTTTTTTTATTTACTAATTTATTACTATTTATAACTTATTAAACTCATTATGTAACTCAAAAACAAGTGAGTAAACCTGAGCTTAAATTATGCTCTGTTCAATCTCTAAGTAGAATATTGCGGCATTATGGTATTATGGTATATAATATTTATATCAATTAGATGCTATATTGTATTATATAGTAAATGCCATGGTGTCGTAATTCGTGATTCTACCATGGTGCATCAAACTAATTAGTTTCATCTGCAACCCTAAATGCCACCAAGTGAAACCCTTTTTTATTGAACTTTTGTACCGAAAACAATCTATTTAATTTATTAGAGAACATGTCGGTACAAAATATAATTGAGAGCCCGAGGCACTCATATTTGCCCGATGTTAGTCAATCAATTCGTAACCTGTTACACACATTTCGGCCTTGCATCAAAAATAAAGAGAAAAAAAAAAGTTTTTTCAAAAAAAACATGTCCTTATATAGTTTTTTTAATTACGTATTTCGCGTAATCAGCAATAACCGCTACATATCGATATAGATTAGATTATCTAGATCGCGTTAACAATTACACACATATATTCGCATAAATCGCGATTTTACGTTTGATAGCGAAATATTATGTCTTCTCTTATACTTAGTCACAAAGAACGCGCAGAAGGGCCATGGGTCAAACTACAATCAGAACCATGTAAAATACATATATTTATTTATTCGCGTTTATTCAATAAAAAATTATACTTAAAGATAAATTTTTTTTTATTTTGTTTACTTTTATAAGCACTTTTCACCTCTTTGATGTATAACTTAGGGGTTAAAGGAGCAAAAGCAACTGAAGTGTTTGTTCTTGATCAACAAGATAATTTCGATGACCTTGGGTAAGTGTGATAATTTAATAATTGGTTGCGTTTTCTCTTTATGTAACAATATATAGGTTTGATTATTATTCATTTTACGCGTCTTTTTTTTATTATAGAGAAATATATGGATTAGTCTTTCTTTTTAAAATGATAGGCGATGTGTCAGGTGACGTGAAAGGTTTGCATAAAGATGTCAAGTATGAACCTATTGACGAACTTCCAAAGAATGTATATTTTGCAAATCAAGTAAATTTGAAGCTCTTTCACATTATATATATATATTTTCAAATTTTCATGCCATGAAAATTTAACATAATATTAATATACTAGGTTGTGGAAAACGCCTGTGCAACATTGGCAGTATTGAATATTGTACTTAATTGTCCACAACTGGAAATCGATCAAGAATTGAAGGAATTTAAAGGATTCACACGGGAGCTTCCACCAGCTGCAAGTTCAACTTTCTATTTGACGTGATGTATTATGTCTTATAAAATTAGGATTTTTTTTAAATGATTTTTCAAATATATAGGCGCGTGGGTTTGCAATCACAAATCACCCAAATTTTCGTCAAATTCATAATTCGATGTCAAGGTGAGTGATGTTTTATATAGTGTTTCATCATAGACTTCAGTAATTAACATTATGCACTTCATATACATACTAATTAAGACATCCTGAAGAAGCACTGGTCGTTGAAGAAGCGATGACCACGAAAAAAGGTAGAGGGAAGAAAATAATTGATGAGGTCATCGGCGAAGCCTATCATTATATTGCCTACGTTCCTGTAGATGGTGAAGCATGGCAATTAGATGGTTTATATCCGCATCCTGTTAGTTTAGGTGCGAATGCCTATATAAAGTGTATTTTTAAAGTGTATTTTTTAAAGTGTGTTCTTTTTTTGATATTATTCTGTGATTTTGTTTTATTTCAGGAAAGTATTCGAATGAAAAAAGATGGTATGAAGCTGCTCGTGGTGAAATCAATGAACGTATTAATGGGTAAGCTCTCCGAGTTTTTTATTCAAAATCCTAATTTAAATACAAAATATTTATTATTTTACAGATTTTTTGTAGAACAAATAGAATATGTTCTTTTAGCAATAACTAAAGACGAATTAGGTATTCATCAAGACAGAATCAAAGATTGTATGTACATCAAAGGACTTGCAGAAAATAGACTGGATAAGCTCAGTAGTTCTTGGAGAGAAGTTGATAGTAAAGACGTGGGTGCTGTTTTATTTTGTGAAATAAGTTTTAACTGTAAATTTTACTGCTTTAATAAATTTAAATTTCTCTATAGATCGATTTGCTTTTTACCGAAGAAGATGGAATAAGGGTTGTAAACAGAGGAAATTATGTAGCTGACTTTGAAAATTTAACATCATGCCATGATAATTTTGAAAAGATCAAAGAATTACGAACGAAAATGGTTAATACAATTCAATTTTTGTTTGAAGAAATTGAAATAGAAAAAAAACGGAAAGAAGTAATTTATCTGATTGTGCAGAAAATTTCTTGCGCTTTTATTTTCGTTATCAATGTTCATATTAATATTATTACTACATTTTTTAGGTCGAGAAAGAACGAAGAACATTTGACTACGGCCCATTCTTTCGTGAGTTCATCTCAATTCTTCACGAACGAGGCGAATTGAAAAGATTACTCGATGCAGCAGAGGATATGGACGAAAGAGATGAATACATATAAAACCTTTTGCTTTTTCTTCCAATAAAGTCTAAATCAATATTGAATTTTGCAGACTTAATTCCATAAATTTTTACATTTACGAAATTGTTTGTAATTTTATTATATTTTGTTTTATGAAGGTGAGCCTATTGTTATTTGAATAACATCTTTTTATAAACTTGTGAAAACATAACTACTATAAATGCTATTAATTGGAATGAATGACTGGATAAATTCATTGAAATCGATATATAGTAATACCTGGGCCTCTTTTCTGTTTTTTAATTTTTTTTTTGGAGATGTAGGATATAAGTATGAATTATATAAAAAAAGGAGGTAATAAATAATTATTGGTTATTATTTGGCAACTATATAGTTTTTGGCTGACAAATCATAATAAGCTGCCGGATAACTAATCAATATTTTGTAAAACAGTTAAGAAAAAAAAGTAATTAAAGTAGAAAGTTTATTTTTGTTTTTATATTTTCTATTTACAAAGAAAGTGGGTAAATTAAAGTTTATATCAATTGTTTTGAAACACAACTGGCATTATACCAACATACCTTTATTATATATATACAAATAAAGTATACAACTTTAGTATTACAACTTAAGTTGAGTACTTTAAGAAAATGTGAGTTGTAGTTGGATTGTATAATCCAGAGTAAAAATAATAAATTACTAAGCACAAATGGTTTGTAAAATTATAAGATTTTTAGTATATTTGTTAAAAAAAATACAAATAGGTGTAAATAAAGAATAGCTTAATATTGAAATTTAGATAAAGACATGACTGCTTTGGTAGATTTGAATTATAGTGAAACCTCGGGTACTATATACTAATTTTTTTTTGTTAAGATAGAATCTTATTAATTTTTTGTAAAATATTATATATTCTAAATATGCTATACTATATAATATATATATAGAAATTGCAGTAAACCTCTATAAATACACGCTCTTGAAACCAAGCTTTAACAATGTGCATTTAGAGAACAATAAGAAAATGTGCATTTATAGAGTTATTTTGGTTATGTATATATTTGGGTCGGAGGGTGTGCATTTATAGAGAGTTATTTATAGAGGTTTCGGATGTTCTATAGAATAGGTGGGCAAACTCCACAAACTCTAATTATTGGCGGAGTTTATTTTTATATTGCCCACTAGAGTGGACGGGGAAATGTGATGTGCATATATGTGCATATGTGACATGTTTTTCGTGAATCATATGTGAACATATGTGCACATATGTATATTAAATTTACAAGAACAAATGCCTTTACAGGCCATAATTATTTAAATTTTATATGTTTACCCTTTTTTCCTCCAAAATATCCAGTGCGTTATAGAGAAAGTCAGCCGTATTTGGAAGAAATTACGAATCCGAATATAAGTTTATTTCTTAACTTTAATTAATTTATTTGGCTTCAACCTATGTTAAAAGTATATCATATTGACGTCAAAATTATGTCAAGATTACATATTAATGTAATTATCAATATTTTTATTTTTCTTATCCGATATAACATTTGCTTGGAATTTATTATTTAATCTAAAAATTATTCGATTTTATTAAAATACATAAAATTCAAAATACCAATTGAATTTTCTGAAAGAGCTTGTCTTCTATCTGTAAGAATATTTTTATATACAGAGAAGATTCGCTCAATGTCAACTCCTGAAACGGGAAGCCAAATATAAACCAAAGCTATTTGCGACAAATTAGGAAGTTGCGTAGCTTTTTCCTTCCAATAAGAATCTAAATCGAAATCATAGGTAAAAGCTTCATCTATTTTACAATAAACTCCCTACTCACATTATTTGGATTTTCAAGCTCAGGAATACATTTGTACAAATTAATATTTTGTTGACTTTGTTGTGAATGAAAATACTGGGGATCAAACCATCGAATTGCCTTAAATAAAGGTAAAGAAGGATGTTGATCAATGTGTTTTTTAAACTTATTCAATGCTGACTGATATGCCTCTCAAAACCTAACTATATATTGTGAAGAATCTATATACAATATATTAAATATAGTTGATATTTTATCATTTAAAGATGGATTAATGGTACTGGATTTAAGTTGTGCTTCGAGTTGTGTTAAATGATTTAACATGGAAGGTGCTACAGGTTTGTTGCGAATTTTAAAAAATTCTAATGTATTAAAAAGGCTATATTGATATGTACAAATAAAATAAATATGTTAATAATTTTTTTTTAGATAAAAAAAACCTGTTACGTATTATTACCTTTGTGCATTAAATGTGATAAATGCAGATAAAATTTCAAATTCGGATACAAGAACAGGATCTTTAAAAATAGATATTAATTTTTGCACTGCCTTGCTTTCATTTCCATTACTAATAAGCTCCTCATTTAAATAAAAATCCTTTAGTTGAGAAATATATTTGTCGATCCAAAAACAAAATTGAACCAAGAATTCCATCTCGTTTTAACAGAAAACGGAGGTAAGGTTGATGATATCTCAAGATTTTGTGAATTTAAAAAAGAAATCCATTGTCGTTTGCACGTATTATTATGCATGAAAGAGGCTTTAATTTGTATTACGATGTCATTTAATAATTTAAAATTTTTATGACCCACTCATGTTTCACCCACCAAATTTAACACATGCGCCAAACAACGATTATGCTTCATTTGGGTTATTAAAGGAGATAAAATACCAAATGCTTTTAACATATAAGAAGCATTGTCTGAAATAAAAATAATAACATTTTCAAATGAAATTTTATAAAATTGAAGAGTTTTCATTACTAACTGCGTGATAGTAGTACTATTAATAGCATCTAAATGCTCGGTTTTAACTAGCTTTGTTGTGTTATAAAAGCTAAATAATATATTTACAGCAGCCCTTCCACAAACATCTGGTGATTCGTCGATAGTAATAGAAATCTGTTTTCCAACTAAGAGTTATTTTAAATTCTCAATTTCTGAATTAAACGCAATAGGCAAGTATCTGCTATGCAATTGAGTAGATTCAACTATAGAACCACCTATTACATATACAAATAATAATTAATTAATAATTAATTAATATTTAATTAATGAATTAGAATCTTTACTAACAAAATTAGCTTACCATTTTTACAGTACTTCAAGAAGAATGGTTTAAGCTTATCGACTTTCTCAAGTGGAATGTTAGATCGAGTTAAAGCGTGAATTAAATCTATATTAATTGCATCACGTTCTTCTCAATTAGTATTAATATTAGAAGCCGGTTTATTAGCTTCTTGTAGATTTATATTCATTTGTTTTATGTTTATCAGTTTTTAGATGTTGGTCAAGTAAAAACTTATTTTTGTAATTTACGATATATTTACAAAAGGTACAATATAAACTTTTGCCTTCAACGTAAAAGTTTTTTTTGTACTCTTCATTTTCATTAACATGGTCATTGGGTGTAATCATTTTTAAAAGCAAAATTGAAAAAAACGAATTTGCAATTTTTTTTTTGAACTTTATTATATATTAACTAACAATTTTTAAAACTTATATTGTTGTACAAAGAGTAAAATAAAAATTCTATTTTATATTGTTAATTTTTTCTAAAGCGAAACTAATTTCAGAGAACTTTTGCCTTTTAATGATTATATTGATGATTTTCTCTAAAAGCGAAACTAATTTCAGATTCTAATTCTAAATGGCGAAACTAATTTCAGATTTTAATGCTAAAAGGCAAAACTAATTTTAGTTACTAATGCTAAAGATGAAACTAATTTTAGATAGTTTCGATTTATTATGATAAAATAAATATTAATGCCTTCTTTTGGCAAAGAATTTGATGAAATCTATATACATACTGCACGCACATATGTTCATATATGATTCACGAAAAACATGTCACATATGCATATATATGTACATCACATTTCCTTGTCCACTTTATTGCTCACCTATTCTATAGAACATCCAACTCTTTTTAAACTTCTAATTAAAGTTGTAGAGCTCACTGAGATGGTTCTAATGGTAGTAAAATAATTAAAAATCAGTCTGAAAAATAGCAAAATATATTTTTTTTTGATTTTTTACTATATACAGTCGTATCTCTATATAATCACCCATTTTGTCTAGCATTTTTTGGTAATTTTATAGAGGGGTAATTAAATAGAATTAATAAAATCACCTCTATATAATCACATAATATAAAATAATTAAAATAATGTAATTTTAAAAGGTAAAATAATATTTTTTATTTATAAATTTTAAAATCTAAATGTTTATTAAATAAACCAAAATTTGCTATTTTTACTCAAACTTTGATGATGGATATCTTAATAACTATTAATCAAAATCAGCTCAAATTTTTACTATAAATAGTATCGATATTCATCTACTATATATAAAAATTTTAGCTAATATAGATTAGTAGTTCTTGAATAATTATTTGTATATAATAGTCAATTTTTTTAAAAAAATTAACTATCATATACAAACAATTATTCAGAATTACTAGGCTAAATCAGCTGAAATTTTTATATATAATAGAATAATATTGTTACTATCTATAGTAAAAATTTGGGCTAATTTGGATTAATAGTTATCAAGATATTTATTATCAATGTTTGAGTAAAAATAACAAAAATTTTATTATTAAACAAATAAAATATTTTTATTAAAACTTTGAAGATATATATTTTGAAAACTATTGATTAAAATTGGCTCAAATTTTTATTATATATAATGACAATATTCTTTAATTATATTTAAAAATTTTAGCTAATTTGGGTTAGTAGTTCTCTAGTAATTACTTGTATATAATAATCAATTTTTTAAAAAAAATAACTACAGTCATACCTCCCTAAATGCATATCGTTGGGACCAGCTTTAGATTATGCATTTAGAGAGGGTTGCAATTAGAGAATACTAATAAAATTATAATATTACTATTATTATATGATAAATAGTCTAGAAATAATAAATTTGATTGGCTAATAATTATGTGGTTGTATTTATAGAGGAAGTTTTTATAAGTAGGCCAGACAATTAGCATGCAATTG